TCAGGTCAGATTGCAGAGAGATCAGGAAAAGAACAGCCTGGCCTTCTCTAAGACACTGGAAAGCAGCTTCCATGAGGAGATTTTAGGGTAAAGAGCAGAAAATCCAGGATTCTTCAGACAGGCAATTAGTGGTTTCTATGCCAGCCACAAGACCACTTAGACACCCAAAACAAATGCAAATCTTTTATGCTATTAAAAAAAATAACGGGGAATCATTATCCAACGGCATCACTACATCTCTTATTGGGAGAAAAAGAGACAAACCACTCATCACTGCCTAAAGTATTGGTATGGCAGCACCAGAGATGCAGATCAGCAGACAATGATGGTCAGAATTATGGAATAATCCTCAGCTTTTGGAAAGGACACACAGCAGGGCACTGCTCCCTCCAGCCTCAATTTAACATTTTTTAACACTACTGGGGGTGAAAAGGGGGGTGGGCTGGAGCTTCCCTGCTGTGCAAACACATCCTAAAAGCAGGGATTCACCTCCTGTGGGTTTCCCACTCTCAGCTGTGCAGTGGCAGATGTGTCACTGGGTGGCTGCTCCCTGCACCACAGGTGGCTGCTGTCACAGGTGTCACCTGAGCGCCGGGAACAGCGCCGGGAAGGAACGCGGCTCGGGAAAGAGCCTGGAAAGGTGTCAGGAGAAATGCCTGGGGAGGGGTGAAGGAAGGGGTGAAGGAGGGGATGAAGGAAGGGGTGAAAGAAAGGATGAAGGAAGGGGTGAAGGAGGGATGAAGGAGGGGGAGAAGGAGGGATGAAGGAAGGGGTGAAGGAGGGGATGAAGGAAGGGGAGAAGGAGGGGATGAAGGAAGGGGTGAAAGAAAGGATGAAGGAAGGGGTGAAGGAGGCGATGAAGAAGAGATGAAGAAAGGGATGAAGAGATGAAGGAAGGGATAAAGGAAGGGGTGAAGGAAAGCATGAAGGAAGGGGTGAAGGAGGCGATGAAGGAAGGGATAAAGGAAGGGGATGAAGGAAGAGCTGAAGAGGATGAAGGAAGTAATAAAACAAGGGATAAAGGAAGGGGTGAAGGAGGAGATGAAGGATGGAAAGCATGAAGGAAGGGGTAAAGGAGGGGATGAAGGATGGAAAGCATGAAGGAAGGGGTGAAGGAGGGGATGAAGAAGAGATGAAGGAAGGGGTGAAGGAGGGATGAAGGAGGGGATGAAGGAAGGGATTAAGGAAGGGATGAAGGAGAGATGAAGGAAGGGATGAAGGAGAGATGAAGAAAGGGATGAAGAGATGAAGGAAGGGATAAAGGAAGGGGTGAAGGAAAGCATGAAGGAAGGGGTGAAGGAGGCGATGAAGGAAGGGATAAAGGAAGGGGATGAAGGAAGAGCTGAAGAGGAGATGAAGGAAGTAATAAAACAAGGGATAAAGGAGGATGAAGAAGAGATGAAGGAAGGGGTGAAGGAGGGATGAAGGAGGGGATGAAGGAAGGGATTAAGGAAGGGATGAAGGAGAGATGAAGGAAGGGATGAAGGAGAGATGAAGAAAGGGATGAAGAGATGAAGGAAGGGATAAAGGAAGGGGTGAAGGAAAGCATGAAGGAAGGGGTGAAGGAGGCGATGAAGGAAGGGATAAAGGAAGGGGATGAAGGAAGAGCTGAAGAGGAGATGAAGGAAGTAATAAAACAAGGGATAAAGGAAGGGGTGAAGGAGGAGATGAAGGATGGAAAGCATGAAGGAAGGGGTGAAGGAGGAGATGAAGGATGGAAAGCATGAAGGAAGGGGTGAAGGAGGAGATGAAGGATGCCATTCCCCTGCACATCAGCAATGCTATCAGGGTGCCCAGAGCAGCTGTGGCTGCCCCTGGATCCCTGGCAGTGCCCAAGGCCAGGCTGGACAGGGCTTGGAGCAGCCCGGGACAGTGGAAGATGTCCCTGCCATGGCTGGAACGCGATGACATTTAAGATCCCCTCCAAGCCAAGCCAGTCTGGGATACCAACCCCTGCAAGCGAGAGCCCCAGTTACAGCGGAGAGCGAACTTCAGCGAGCGCAGGTGCCGGAGCAGCAGCGCCGGTCCCTGATCCCCGCCGGCCCCGGCCCGGCCGGCCCTGAGGGAGCCGCGGGGGGCTCGGGGCCCTCGCGGCGCTGCCTGAGGGCAGGGCGGGGGCCGCGGCTCCACCTGCCCGGAGCGCGGGGACGCGGGGCAGGCTGCGAGCAGGTGCCGCCGCTCGGCGCCGGGACTGACCTTGCGCAGGGCGGGCACGAAGAGGCCGCGCCATTTCGGGCCGTTCTCCTCGCCCAGGAACTCGTAGGGCTGCGGCGGCGGCTGCATGGCGGCCGCTCCGCATCGGGGCCGGCCGGGCCGCCGCGGTGTCGCTGCTCACCCGCCCGGCCGGGCCGCCATGGCTCGGCGGGGCCGCTCGGAGAACCGGGACCGGGAGAGAGAACCGGGACCTCCGGCCGGGAGAGAGCCCGGCCGGGAGAGAGCCGGGACCGGGGGAGAATTCCTTATCTAGGGGAGAGATCCTGGACCGGAGAGATCCTGGACTGGGGGAGAATTCTGAACCGGGGAGAGATCCTGAACCGGGGGAGGGTTCCTGAACTGCGGGAGAGCCCCTGAACTGGGGGATGTTTCCTTACCTAGGGGAGATTTCCTTAACTGGGGGAGAGTTCCTGAACTAGGGGATAATTCCTTGCCCAGGGGATAATTCCTGACCTAGGCGAGATTTCATTAATGAGGGGAGATTTCCTTACCGATGGGATAATTCCTTACCTAGGGGAGATTTCATTACCTAGGGGGTGTTTCCCCTGCCCGCGGGATGTTTCCTTACCTATGGAATATTTCCCTACCGAGGGGATGATTCTTTACCTAGAGGATATTTCCTTGTCCAGGGGAGATTTCCTTACCTAGGGAATATTTCCTTGCCAAGAGGAGATTTCCCTGCCTGGAGGATATTTCCCTGCCCAAATGATATTTCCTTACCTGGGGATACTTCCCTGCCCAAATAATTTTTCCCTACCTGGAGGATATTTCCCTACCTAGACGTGATTTCCCTGCCCAGAGGATAATTCTCCACTTAGAGGAGATTTCCCTGCCCAGAGGATAATTCTCCACTTAGAGGAGATTTCCCTGCCCAGAGGATAATTCTCCACTTAGAGGAGATTTCCCTGCCCAGAGGATATTTCCCTACCTACATGTGATTTCCCTGCCCAAAGGAGATTTCCTTACCTAGAGGATATTTCCCTGCCCAAATGACAATTCCCTACCTGGAAGATGTATTTCCCTTCCTAAAGGATATTTCCCTACCCAGAGGATATTTCCCTTCCTAAAGGATATTTCCCTACCCAGAGGACATTTCCCTTCCTAGAGGTGATTTCCCTGCCCAGAGGGTATTTCCCTCCCAGTGATATTTCCCTGCCTGGAAGCAGTTTTTCTGAAAGCTCTTCCCCTCCCTCCCTGGAGGTGTTCTTCCTGCCTGGATGCCATTCCCTGCCTGCAGGCTGTGTTTTACCCTGCCTGGAGGATGTTCCTCTCCTACCTGGAGGCAGATTTCCTCCCCACCTGGAGGATGTTCCTCTCCTACCTGGAGGCAGATTTCCTCCCCACCTGGAGGATGTTCCTCTCCTACCTGGAGGCAGGTTTCCTCCCCACCTGGGGGATGTTCCTCTCCTACCTGGAGGCAGATTTCCTCCCCACCTGGAGGATGTTCCTCTCCTACCTGGAGGCAGATTTCCTCCCCACCTGGGGGATGTGGCTCTCCTTACCTGGAGGCTTCCTAGAGACCTGTGCCTCTTCCTGCTGGGGGCTGTTCCCACCCTTATCTGAATTCTGCTCCCTGTTTGGAGACTGTTTTCTTACCTGGAAGGACTTTCTCTCCTTACTTGGAGGCTTTTCTTCTTCCTGCTTGGAGCCTGTTTTCTGTAAACTCTTCTCCCTGCCTCGAGGCAATTTTTCTCACAGCCTGGAGCCTGTTTTCCTCCCCAGCTGGAGGATGTTTTTCTCCCAACCTCGAGGCAGTTTTCTCCCCTCTCTGGAGGATGTTTTCCTACCTGCCAGCAGTTTTTCTCTCCATACCTGGAAGGAGTTTCTCTCCCTCTTTGGAGGCAGTTTTCCTCCCTGCTCCAGAGAACACCATTCCCTTCACCCACTCATCACCCAAATCCAGATAAATTTTCCCTCATTTCCCTCCTGACAGCATAATATTCAAATCTCACACTTCATATTCCCTCCACTCCCCATTTTAAGACTTATCTACAGAGAGAATGGATAAATTAAACCAAAAGGGAAAAAAAATGTGCCTTCCTGCCAGTAAAATGGTGACCCTTCTTTGTAAGATTTCCTGGAGGAGCCTGATGCTTCCAGAGGCACAAACTGCTCCTTCTGCTCCATGGCTTGATCCTCCTGCCCCACCAGAGCAGCCTGGGAGGTTCCCAACAAAGTATTTCTATTTCTATCTAATGTATATGTATTATAATACATATGTAATGTATGTATAAACATAAGTAATGTATGTGTATATATGTATCTATATGTATTTGTAGCTATTCTATCTAAAATATCTATTTTTGTACTTATATTTTCTATTTATTTCTATTTCTATTTTATACTTGTTCCTCAAACCCAAACTGTGAGCAAAAAGGAAAAGTAATAATGGGATAATGCTGGCACAACCCACAGTTCCTCCTCCTTCCAGAGTTTAGGGCTGACCTTGCTGGGCACTGTTTGGGTGGAATATTGGGAAGGAATTCCCTGTGAGTGTCCCAGGCCAGGCTGGAGAGAGCTTGGAGCACCCTGGGATAGTGGAAAGGGTGGGATGGAATGGGATTTAAGGTCCTTTCCAACCCCAAACCAGCCTGGGGTTCTATGATTCTGTAACACTTCTGGGGAACAAATGGTGTTTGTCCAAATATTTATTCAGAGGTTCAGGAATTCTCATCCCACCTGTCCCAACAGGCCCAGATCAGCCTGAGGAGCAGTGAGGAAAAGCTGTGAGGAGCACAGATAAGATAATTTAGGAAGACAAGTCTGGTCATGAGTCCCCCCCCCTTGCTCTGCATGCCAAATCCAGGTGGATAACCCCACACAGAGGGATCCACCCTGCTCTGCCTGGCAAATCCAGCTGGATAACCCCACAGAGAGGGATCCACCCTGCTCTGCCTGGAGTCCCTGCCGTGGCTGCTCCTGCTCCGCTGGCCAAACGTTCCTCAGGACGCCCCAGGAGCCGTGGGCACACCACAGTGCCAAGGCTGCTGGGGCACTGCCTGCTGGCTCTGTGTCCTTCGGGAGGAGTGCCAGGCTGCAGAGGGGCAGCAGGCAGGATTCCTGCCGGGATTCCTGCCGGGGTTCAGAGCCGGAAGCGCCGCTGGGCCTCGTCGGCGATGGCGGCGGCGATGGCCAGCGAGGAGGTGGCGGCTGGGGAAGGAGCGTTCCTGACGTGCAGGATCCTGCTGCCCACGGCCCCAGAGCCCCCATCAAACACAAAGTCATCCACCAGATTGCCCTCACTGTCCAGGGCCTGGGCTCTCACACCAGAGGGACCCCTGCAAAAGCAAGGAGGAGCAGAAGGAAAATGTCATCCTGAGTCAGGGAAGGAACTCCCGTGAGGAGGTGTCCAGGGAGACAGTGAGGAGGGCACGGGGTGGAGACAAAGCATTTTTTGGGGAGTTGTAACACTCAGGAGGCAGAGCGGGGGTACCTGACAGTCATGGGATCATTGAGGTGGCCAACCTGTGAGCTTAAAGCCCACCCAGCTCCACCCCTGCCATGGCAGGGACACCTCCCACTGTCCCAGGCTGCTCCAGCCCCAGTGTCCAACCTGGCCTTGGGCACTGCCAGGGATCCAGGGGAGCCACAGCTGCTCTGGGCACCTGTGCCAGGGCCTGCCCACCCTCACAGCCAGGAATTCCTTCCCAATATCCCATCCAACCCTGCCCTCTGTCAGTTTGAGGCCATTCCCCCTTGTCCTGCCCCTCCAAGGCTCTGTAAATAATCCCTCTCCATCTTTCTGTGGGTTCTCCTCGAGTACTGCAAGGCCACAGCGAGGTCACCCCAAAGCTTCTCTTCTCCAGGCTGAACAATCCCAAAATTCTCAGCCTTTCCTCCCAGCAGAGCTGCTCCATCCCCCTAATCATCCTGGTGCCTCCTCTGGACTCAGGTCCTTCAAGCTGGAGGCAGCTCCAAGTTTCTGTATCATATTTTGGTGGAGGAAGGGACCCTGCCACGTTTTCTGCTGTTCAAATAGGAGATTTCCCAAGCAGAAGTAGTTTCCTTTACCTGAGAACATCATTGGTGGTGACCTCAGGGATGAACTTCTGCAGCTGCCTCACCTGGGCACTGAGGGAAAAGGCTCTGTACAGCTCCCCCAGGCCGTAGGACACGTTCCTCAGCACCAGCTTCCACAGCCCACTGCAAGAGAAAGTGGGAGAAACAACTGCACTGAGGGAAAATCTGCCCAAAATGCACCAGCTGCAGCTGCTGAAGAAGGCAGCAAATGCAACTGCAGGGCACAAGTTCCCATTCCCAAAATCAGGAACCACATCATGCTTTGTATTTGAGAAATGCATGTTTGTCCTTCTCTGCTTTAACAAACCCTGCTCACAGAGCTGTGGCATTGGATTAATTCTGAATTCCAGGCCTGGAAGTGTTCCAGGACTTGATGAGTTTGGAGCAACCTGGGCAGGGACACCTTCCACTATCCCAGATTGCTCCAAGCCCTGTCCAGCCTGGCCTTGGGCACTGCCAGGGATCCAGGGGCAGCCACAGCTGCTCTGGGAATTCTATTCCAGGGCCTCTCCACCCTCCCAGCCAAGAATTCCCAATCTCCCACCCATCCCTGCCCTCTGGCAGTGGGAGCCATTCCCTGTGTCCTGTCCCTCCATCCCTTGTCCCCAGTCCCTCTCCAGCTCTCCTGGAGCCCCTTCAGGCCCTGCCAGGGGCTCTGAGCTCTCCCTGGAGCCTTCTCCTCTCCAGGGGAACATTCCCAGCTCTCTCTCCCAGCCTTTCTCTGCTCCCAGCACCCTCTGCAGGTATTTAATGATGTTGTCTGAGTTGATTAAGTGATCACAGTGCAAACCAACCCTGGAATGGCTCCACCAGCACCTTCCAGGGAGCAGCCACGTTCCCAGACTGGCTGAGACATGTCCTGGTAGCAAATTCAAATATGAGACCACAAAATGTCAAATGTCTTGGGGAAGTCCACCCTTATCAGCAAAAGTGTCTTTGAACACACCAAAAACGTGTGAAAAGCAGGATTTTGGGCAGGAAGTGGCTTCCATGGCTCAGATTTCAACAAGAGCAGGCAGCAGACACAAACACAAGGCATTACCTGTAGGTCACAGCATCCAAGAAGTCTCCAGGGCTGAAGTCCAAGAGTTTGTAGCCCTCTCTCTTAAAGGCCAGCACTGCATTAGGGCCAAGCCAGACACTGCCATCCATCCTGGGAGTGAAATGGAATCCCAGGAATGGGAAACGAGGGTTGGGAACCTGAAATGGGGCACAGGAGTGAGCAGAGCTCTTACAAACAGCAAATTTGCCATTTTATTTCCAACCACAGCAGCAAAACTCTCAGTCACAGAACATCAGAATTGGCTCTTGAGCTGGTTTTGTTGCTTGTTAATTGTGCAGTTGTGGCATGTCATTAATTAAACCACTGGAGAACAGAACAGGGCCAGGTAAAGCTGAATTTTAGGGAAAAGTAAAACAAATAACGGGGAAAAAAGTCCACATGATTTCTGAGGACATAAGGCAGTGACACCCTGATTTTGTTCACCAGCAGCAATTATACTGCAATAAAACAGAATATTAGGAAAACCTTACTGTGTGTACAAACCAGCCTGAACTTAGCAGGCCTGGTTAATGCTAATAATAATGTTAATAATGCTAATAATAATAAATCTGCATGTTCTTTTTTTGTTCCACTTCCTGCCTCCCATCCCAGGACAGGATCCTGAATGGCCCTCAGGTGAGAGCAAACAGCAATGCCCAGCATTCCAATCTTCCCAAAGATCCAGTGTTTAGCAGGCAAAGCTATTCTCATATTCAGAAAATCAGTATTTAAATGGACAGAATTAGCTAAAATGCTGCCCTAGGAATTCTCTCCAGTTGCTCTGTAATTACATTTTCTCTCTGGGATTGCTGCTCTTCATCCCATTATTTGTCTATATTAGGTGGTAGAAAGATTGCTCCCTTTTCTCCCACATCTGTTTTCAATGACAAAATCAGCTAATCCAAAAATAAGGTTGAGAGGAAAATACCTAAATCCGAGTGTTGGGTATTAGCACAAAAGATGAAACCCTTTATCAATAGTTCATCACAGAATCCCAGAATCACTGAGCTTGGAAAAAACCTCCAGTGTCATCTGTGAATTTCCTGAGGGTACAGTCAACCCCTTTGTCCAGATTATCAAGAAAAAGATTAAACAGGACTGTTATAATTACTTAAATAATAATTTACTGTCATCTCTCCCTGACTTCTGAATCCTGCCTACAGATTCATTTTAGGACATACAGAAATAATTTAGAGTTTTCTGATATGTGGCAATGTGATATTCCATCTTTTCTCTATTAAGTAAAAAAACTCCAAAACTAAAGCCATAAACAAAAGGAAACAACTGGCAATAACTTCCCATGTGGTACTTCCATGTGTTCCTCAACCAACCAAAAAAAAATAAACAAAAAAATTAACAAAATCCAAGCTGTCCTGTCCCAAACCAACTGAATCTCCACCCACGTGTGTGCATCACTGCCATGGAATTTTTCCTTTTTTCTGCACTTTTAGCAGCTCTTAGGGTACCCTGGGACACACAAACCAGGGGGTACTTACTGGATAAATATTTCCTTTCACCAAGTAGGACTTTTCTGGTTTCAGCAGCAGGTAATCCCCCCGGAAGGGGACGATCCTGGGCTCGGGGCTGCAGCCGCTGATCCCGGCCAGGCGGTCGGAGTGAAGCCCTGCACAGGTCAGGAGGTGCCCACAGGAGATCTCCTCACCCTGGGGGAACAAAAAACACACCAAAATCCTGTTTATCTGCTAAAAAAACCACGCTGGAAAACCCCACAAGCATTGATTTAAATAAATAAAAATTATTTAACTAATTATTAAAAATTAAAATTAAAAAAAAACTTATTTAAAATACATTTTAAAACGAACTTATTTTAAAAAATTAAATGTATTCTTTTAAAAAATAAATTTGAAATTTATTTTAAATATTTTTTAAAAATATTTTTTAAAAATTTAACTTAAGTTAAATAAAGATGTTCATTGATTTGACCCCACAGGGCGGGAGCAGCTACACAAACTGCCAGCACACAGGTATGGAGAGCTGCTAAATATTAAACACCTTTACCATCTAAATAAAGAAATAAATAAAAATCAAAAACTATTATCTATTTTTTTTAGCTTAGTATCTGCTTTTAAATACGATTCTTTTTTTTTCCAACTGAAAAATATTTGCATGAAAAAAATACCAGTATTTGGTGGGGGAAAAAAATCCTAACAGATTTTGGAAGCTACTTTTTAATGGAAGAGCAAAAAAATAGGAGAAAAAAGAAGCAGCAGAACTAAATTTAAAAACAACCAGAGGGGTTGTGGAGCTGGTTTTGTTCAGATATTCCCTCCTGAAGCTGAACCACAGTTCCTGACTTGCAGGAACAGCAGCTGCCATGCACCTGTTTCACTGAAACAGTCTGATGATAAAATGATAATAAAACGATGCTAAAAGCCTCCTTATCATTTTATGGATGCCAGAGCTCAAAAGTAAACATGGAAATTGGTGTTTGTCACCAGATGAACAAGTCATAAAGGAGTTCTTGCAAGCACAAGCATTGGATTGTGCAAATAAAGCAGATAAAGGATGGTAAATGTCAGGCAGCAGAAGTTCTAGTTCAATATTTTACATCATCATCATCATTATTTTTATTTATTTATTTATTTGAACATCCTCATTGTTAAGAACTGATTGCAGTTGCTCTATCAAACTGATCATGTTGCTGAACAGCAAATTTTTAACCTTTTTTTTTGGAGATGATTAATTCACCAGAAAAAAAAATAAATCTGAAGAAAAGGAGAAGCAGCTTCCTGGAAGGAATGAAGACTTCTTTTGCACCCTTACCTTTTTGCTCCTAACAATGACTGGGTATTTCAGCCCTGAAATGGAATTAGACAAGAGAGGGAATTACTAGAACAAGCAAAAGAGAGCTGACAGAACAAGCAGCTTGTCACCAGGAAGGAATTTTCCTCTGGAATATTTTCCAAGCTATGTAAGAACTACTCTTGTCATAATTAATCTTGTTGGACATGACTGTATTTATTAATTAATAGGGGGTTTTGTTCTTTCCTCTGTGTGCCAGCACAGATCCAACCTGCCTTCAGGATAAGGAAAATCACTATCACAAGAATAAACATGCAAGACTCAGACAAATCTGATTTTTAGAGGAGAGAACAACTTTATTTCTCCATTTTATTCTCACTTTCTTCCATCAGTTTTAAATGTTTCAGCTGAAGGGTGACCTGCCTGCAAAAAAACCCCAAGTGATTTTGCTGAATACTAGGAGACAAAAAAAAAAATCAGAAATGTCATTTCAGTTAAAACAATTGTGTTCTAACTGAACTTAAAATGGAGGGAAAAAAAAAATCCTTACCATCCTCACTTTCTGCAGAACTTTCTCTGGCCATCTCCATGTTTGTGACTTCAAAATCAGTCAAGATTGTCCCACCTGCTTCCTGGAAGTCCCTGGCATAGGACTGGGCCACTTGTTTGTAATCCACAATGCCAGTGTAGGGAGAATCAAGGGCCATCAGTCCCTGCAAGGGTTTAGAGACACAGAGGAGAGGGAAGGTTGGGATATTTCACCTGGAATATTGCACTGCCATGAGAAGGGAACGCTGCTCTCTCCCCTTGTGCTCAGCTGGATCTGCAACACTCAAAGGATGTTTTAGGGAGCAGATCCAAAATGTTTACAGGGGGAAAAAAAAAGACTGAAGAAGATTCTTTTCCAGAAAATTTCTGTCTGTACCTACAACCACTCCTAAGTGACACAGCTGCTCCAGAGCAAGCTGCCAGATGAAACAGCACAGGGAATTCACATCCAGCTTTTCCTTTCAAACAAAGACAGACTAATCAATAACAAATCTGTGTTCCACAAACTCCACACATTCCTTCTGCTGGGAAAATAAACATAACAACCACACCAACTGCACTGAAATGGGCTTGATCCAAATCCACTTTTATGGATGGGAAGGAATTTTCAGCCTCTTCTGAACTTGAACCTCAAGGGCAGAAAAGTATTTGTGTTAAATCAAAAGATGTTTTCACCTGAGAAACAGCTCTTACAATTAGAATTAGAAGCTCTTACAACTAGCTAATTAGAAGTATGGTAACCCCTTACCCTGCAGAAGGGCTCCTTCTCCTGGATTTCCTTGGCTCCAATGAGTTTCAGCCCTGGGACGTTGTTCTGCAGCCCCCTCTCATACAGAGCTTTGAGCCTTGGAATTTCATCCTGTTCCACAGCCACGATCAGCTTTGGGAAAGGAAAAAAAGGCACAGCAGTGAGCAAAACAAACAGGGCATGCTTGGCATCAAGCACAAGCAGTAGTGAATGAGTGAACAATGAATCCAGGGGGTGAAGAATGGTTGGTGCTATTAATTGCATAGAATTCTGTTGCTAAGGAAGCACTAATATATCACAGAGAATTAAAAAATAAATGCTAAACTGTAGTTTGAGTTACAATCAATTGACAATATTTGCCAGAAGCAGCCTGAGACTACAAGTCTGCATGTGAGAGAGTTTGAATTTAAAGAACCACTGGGATGCTTTAAGAAGCAAAACTGAACTCAACCCAAGACGTACAAAGCTCCAAGAGCCTCAATAAGAGAGTGAGGACATGTTCTGACATGGCCTGAGTGGAATTGTACCAGTTTCCCTTAACCAAGGAGTCTGTTCACAGCTATCACAGGAGATAAATCCAGACTGAATTACCTGTGCCAGCTTTGCACAGACCATGATCCTCCCAGCCAGCTCAGCTCTGGCACCTCACACGTGTGAAGCTCTCCAAGCCTGGGGCTGCTCTAGGGAAAGCTGGTGAAGGTTCACCATTATCTTCCCTGCAATGAACACTGCCAGGGGAGTGTCATGAAATCATGGAACTGTTGAGGTTGGAAAAGCTCTCTAAGAGTCCAACTGATCCTTCAGCACCACCAAGGCCACCACTGCTCCGTGTCCCCAAGTGCCACATCCACATGGATTTTAAATCCCTGCAGGAATGGTGAGTCCAGCACTGTCCTGGGCAGCTGTGCCAGGGCTGGACAACCCTTTCCATGAAGGAATTTTCCCCAGTATCAAACCCAAAGCTTCATGGTGCAACTTGAGGTCATTCCCTCTGCTCCTGTCCCTGTTCCCTGGAGCAGACCCCGACCCCCCGGCTGTCCCCTCCTGGCAGGGAGTTGTGCAGAGCCAGAAGGCCCCCCCTGAGCCTCCTTTTCTCCAGGCTGAGCCCCTTCCCAGCTCCCTCAGCCTCTCCTGGGACTCCAGACCCTTCTCCAGCTCCATTCCCTTCTGGGGACACACTCCAGCCCCTCCTGTGGCTTTGCTGTGAGGAGCCCAGAGCTGTCCCCAGGGCTGGAGGTGGCCCTGCAGTGCCAGCACAGGGGGCAGGCACTGCCCTGCTCCTGCTGCCACCCTGCTGTTGGTACAAAATACACAAATCCAGCTCACCCAGGCTCCAGCTGACCCCCTCAGGACAGGAGCTTTGAGCAGGCTGTCCCCTCAGGAGTGCTGCTGCACAGATCCACAGTGCCACCCTGTGCCCAGCGTGGCAGCAGAGGGAGCACAGCTCCGAGAAAAACCATGGAATTCAAATTTATCCTTCAGGGCCAAAACCTTGGGGTGAGGATTGAGAGTCCTGTGGAAACAGCAGCTCAATGCCCAGTGAGAGGTGGAAAACCTGAATTGAGCTCTAGGAACAACTGGGACATGGATACAGAACTCTGTTTCACTGAGCCTGGCCACACCTGGAATGCTCTGCCCAGCCTTGGTTCTCACCTGGCACCAAACACACACTGAATTAAAAATGGTTCAGAGCATGAAGACAGGGTGGGGAGATCATGAAAAACCTTCTCTCAAACTGAGACTCATCAGCAGGAAGGGGATGATTTGGGGACAGGAGGGAATGATGTACATTATACACATTTATGTATAAAATTATGTGCAGCTTGGAGAGTGTGGAGAAAACCCACAACCAGGCCTGTGCCATATGCGGTACCACACATCACACAGCTTCAGTTTCCAAGGTAAAGCAGGGAATCCCAGGAATTCCTGTACCTTCCCACACTGCTTGTAGGGAATCCCCTTCTGGTCACAGTATTTGTAGCACAGGGCTGCCCCCTGCACGCAGAGCTTGGCCTTCAGGGAGCCAGGGGTGTAGTAAATCCCACTGTGGATCACACCGCTGTTGTGGCCACTCTGGTGATGGGCTAAAGAGAAAGAAAAACACATGGTTAGAATTCATTTGTTCCCACTTAATCACTTCTGCTGTCAGAAAAACGAGTTAATTGAGGTCCTGCCTTAAATCAGCATTATAAGAGATGATCAAGTGAGAGAACTGCACAATTAATTCCTCCCCTGGCCTCAAAAGGTTAGAGAAACACTGACACAGCCAGCCCTGGTTAATGATAATCCATCACAGCCCGCACTGTGCTGGATCAACAGGGAAAAAAACCCTAAAACCACAAATTTTTCCTTCAACAACAAACCAATCAATCAAAACAGGCTAAAATTAAATTTTAAAATCCAATTTTTACAATGAAATGCATCCCTTATGGCCTCATCTAACATAGTATCTGTCCAATCCACAATTCCTTTCGACATCCTAGCAGGCCTGGAAGGATTTTTGAGTATTTGTGAACTGGATTAGGTTGCTATTTCCTCTTTGCAAATAGATAAAATAGAGGTGAAAAATACCACAAACATTTTTACTGAAGTAATTTGGCCAGGTTCTTCTCCCTCTTTAAGTGTGGGTGCCCAAAGGCCATTCCTGCTTGGCACTCACATGGCTCTGTGTCTTGGGGATAAAAAGTCATTTTCTATCACTCATGGAACATCTCAAGAGCAATTTATAGCCAGGCTGATGGAGCTATTAAAGACAAGATTTGGGCTCAGAGGATAGGGAGAGGAGATATAAAGGAAGGGGATACAAGGAATAAATGGGATATTGGGGAGTGGAGCTAATCACTGATGTCTATCCCTTGGGATTCTGCCAGCTCCATGCAGGACCTGCCTGTGCCCTCCCACAAGCTGCACTATTCCCTATCCTGGTTATTCACCCTCCTTGTCCTCTCTCCTGCCATTCCCAGCCCCAGCAGTCACACTGCAGCTTGCACACCGTGCAGCAGCAACACTCAGCAGCTTTTAACTTAAAATTCCCAATCTGCCGTCCCAGCGTTGAAGCACAGACTGATGATAACTCTGCTGAAGGACATGTCCTTGGGAGAAAGGTGGAAGAAATCCCTGTTAGGGAAGAGTCTTGGCACTGAAATGCAGCCTCAAGCTGTGCCAAGGGAGATATAGGTTGGATTTTAGGAAAAGGTTTTTCATGGAAAGGGTGGTAAAGTTCTGGAATGGCTGCCGGGGAGGTGGTGCAGTCACCATCCCTGGTGTGTTTAACAAAGCCTGGATGTGGCACTGGGAGCCAGGGCTTAGTTCAGCTGCTGGTGCTGGGCTGGACTCCATGATCCTGAAGGTCTCTCCCAACCCAGGGATTCTGTGAATTCTGTGAGAGTCATCACAGAATTCCAGAATGGTTTGGGATGAAAGGGACTTTAGAGATCACCTCGTTCCACCCCCTGCCATGCTCAGGGACACCTTCCACCATCCCAGGCTGCTCCAAGCCGTGTCCAACCCGTCCTGGGAATGGGAAATCCATCACCCACTTCAACAACAAGGGCAGCTGCTCTCCCACAGCAGATCCCTGCACACAGAAATCCGTGGGATGCTGAGGTTCTGGCAGCGTGCCCTCAGACACAGCCTCCCGTGGTCCCTGTCCCGCTCCTACCCGGCTCCGGCTCCTTCTCCAGCACGGCGAAGGCCAGCGAGGGATGGCGCTGGATGAGCTCCCGCGCCGCGGCCAGGCCCACGATCCCCGCGCCCACCACGGCCACGTCGAACGAGCTGCAGGGACACGCACACGGCATCGGCACGGGGACAGGGACGGGGGAAAAGCGTGGGGACACGGAAGGGCATGGAACAATAGAGGGGAGAGGGAAAGGGGATAGGATAGGGAGAGGGGGTATAAAGGAAGGGGACATAAGGGAGAGGAAAACGGGATAGGGGTGATTAATAATGTAAAGGGGGAAGGACAGGGATGGCAGATAAAGGATATAGGGGAAGTGGCTATAGAGAATATAAGGGATATAGGAGAGAGGAAAAGGGGATAGGATAGGGGATATAAAGGAAGGGGATATAAGGAATAAAGGGGATATAGGGGAGAGGAAAACGGGATAGAGGAAAACGGGATAGGGGTGATTAATAACGTAAAGGGGGAAGGACAGGGATGGCAGATAAAGGATATATAGGAAGTGGCTATAGAGAATATAGGGGATATAGGAGAGGGGGAAAGGGGATATAAAGGAAGGGGATATAAGGAATAAAGGGGATATAGGGGAGAGGAAAATGGGATAGAGGAAAGGGGGTGGGGGTGATTAATAATGTAAAGGGGAAAAGGATAGGGATAGCAGATAAAGGATATAGGGGAAGTGGCTATAGAGAATATAAGGGATATAGGAGAGAGGAAAAGGGGATAGGGAAAGGTGATATTGCAAACACAGAGGATACAGGAGAGAGGGACAGGGGATAGGGGAAGGGGGAAAGGACAGGGGAGAACTATACGGAAAGGAATAGGGGCAGTGGATGAGTAAAGTTAAGAACAGAGGGGAAGGGGTGAGGGGAGAGGGGAACGGATAGGGCCAGGGGACAGGGATAAGGTTACGGTGACTAGGACAGGGGAAGAGACAGGGCCAGGGGAAGGTGCAGGCCCGCCCCGCTGCCCCCCGGCCTCACCCGCACCGCCGGCTCTGGAGCGCCCACAGCGCCACGGCCCGGCCCGGGCCCGCGCGGCCCCTCAGCGCCGCCGCCATCTTGGGGGCGGAGGGAGCGCCGGGGCCGCGGCCGCGCGTCCTCCTCTCCTCCTCCTCCTCCTCCTCCTCCTCCTCCTGCTGCCCCTCCTGCTCCGCTCCTCCGGGCAAGGTTCGGCCGCTCGGCGCCGGGGGCAGCGCGGGGGTGGTGACGGCCCCCCCGCCGCCGCAGTGGAGCCCGCCGGGCTCACAGCCCCGCTCAGGCCTTGAGGGCGGCACGGCCTCGCCCTGCTGCTGCTGGCACTGCAAATAACACCTCGCTTTTCCCTCTCCCGACTGCGAGAAGGTGATGATGGCGTTGGGGACGCTCTTGAGGAAGCCGCCGCTGCCGCCGGGCAGTTGTAGAGCCTTCTGGGGATGGCTGAATGCCGTGTTCAACAAGTAAGAGTGAGTCGCTGGTTAATAATTAACTTTCAGATCCCTCAAATTCTCTGCGCGGTTTGTGAAGGGGAACAATCAAGTCCCTACGCTGCAGACAACGTTTTCTGTCATTAATGCTCCTCTTTCTCCCCAAATTGCATGTTGGTTGTTGACAAGGGGTCGTTCCATATCTGCTTCCCCTTCCAAAGCCGTGACCTTCCAGAGGAAGGTGTGGGCTCTGCCACATGGATCCCATCCCTACATCCTGCTCTTCTTTGACCCCAAAACTCAACCAGTAGCACAGTTTTCTTTCCCTACCAGACATGGAAGGAAACAGAGTTAAGTCCAGTTGTGTTTGTGTTCCTTTTTTACTAAAAAGCATCTGCCACTGAAGTTAAAAAACCTCACGCCAGACTAAGCACCGCACGATCCAAAACCGACCCATAAACCCATTTCTAGCAAATCGCATCCTTACTCCTCCGACCGTGCGCATAACCAGATACTTGCCGTGGAGCATTTTAACTACCCGTGGATTAATTGTGCGGCACTACAGCCGGGCTGTGCGTGCTCTCTGTGTCCTGCAGGGTGGACCACGAGCGCATCCGAGCCGTGGGGCCGGACCGGGCGGCCTCGGAGTGGCTGCTGCGCTGCGGGGCCCTGGTCCGCTACCAGGGCTCGCCCAAGTGGCAGCAGGACTACAATGGGCTCCCCACGGGGCCCCTGGGCAAGTACAAGATCGAAGCCATCAACGCCACCGACTCCTGCATCATGTACAGAGGGTTTGACTATCTGGGTAATGTACACACGGTGGTTCTTAAATGGGTTTGTTTTTAAGTGCATCAAAATGTGGATAGTGGTGTCATTTTATCATTCCTTAGACAGATAAATAATTTGTGGGTTTTTTCCCCCTTTGCAAATATTTATCAGTCCCCAGGGTTTTGCTGGAGGTGTGGTATAAAGTGAAAAGACAGTGGGAATTTCAGCTTTTACCCAAAGTGGCCATAGCACTAAGGAAGTGCCACAAATTTTTATGCGTTCATAGCAAAAAGCACAAAAATAAATATTATTTTTCTTCTGCACCAAGGGATGATTTTGGTGTCTCTGAAGTTGTAATTCTGCTCATTCTCCAGCCATTTATGATGTCTTTTGTCTTTATTTGTCTAAAGACAAATAAAAAGCATTCTCTTAAAAATAAGAGATTAAACAAATGTTTCAGGGGGTCTTTAAATAGCAGAAAACAAAATGGGAACAGGCTGTTTTATTTTTTCATAGCAAGGGACCTTTAATTTCTGACCTTAGCACTTTCTTATGTCAGAGTCATTGTTCATTACCCAAAATAGTGTAGGTTTTTTGTTACTTGCCCATTTCAAAGCTCTTGAAGTCCTACCAAAACAATTCAAACCCCGAGGTTTTCCTAAATCTGAAGTACCACAAAGGACTTTGGAGATTCATTGTATGTTACAGCCCCACTTTATAAAGGAATGTGTTGCTGGGTGGTTTTAGGGGCAGTTGTTAAATTGAGAATTTAACCACCAGCCCAGGCTGGTCCTGGGATTCGGGAGCAAATCCTCCCTTGTGCCTGTGCAGATGGCCTGGAGCACGTGACGGATATCAGGCTGGAGAAGTGCATGTACATACAGGACGAGTGTCTGCAGAGGCTCAGCGAGACCAGCAACCTCCAGAAGAGTCTGCAGCAGCTGAAGATCATTTCCTGTGGGAATGTCACAGACAGAGGCATCCTTGCACTCCACAAGCTGACGTACGTGAGGCACTGCGTGCTTCCACAGCTCCCTGCTCTGGGATTGGGATTGTGCTGCCTGCAGGGGCTGCAGTCTGGCTGTGTCAGGGCTGTGGGGTGGCTGGGGTGGGTTTGAGGACAATTAATTAATGATCAGCTTGGCTGCTGTTCCTGAGCCCTCTCCTGCAGGAGCTCTGTTTGACACAGTTTGACTGTGTCCTGTAGCTTTCAGTGCTTCTCCACCTCACAGTTTCCTGTCACACCTCTTGTGCCTCAGGGTTTGGGACAGACCTGGGTGCTCAGGAATGGGGTGCAGTTGGATACTGCAGCTAAAAACCCCAAACACCCACTTCAGAAACAAACTTCCAGTAGAACCATTTAAAATACCAAAAATTCCAGTCACCATTTAAAAAAACAACTGCAGTAGAATAATTTCTCCAATTTCACTGTTAGCAATTCATTAGTAGTTGCCCATTTTCTTTTTGAATATTTACAGGAACCTGGAATATTTGTATCTGAGTGACCTTCCTGGGATCAGAGAGAAAGAAACAACCTTCCGTGTCCTTCAGCAGGCGCTGCCCAACCTGGAGCTGGAGCTGGATTTGGAATAAACACAGCAGCACACAACTGAGATGTATGTGATTTCCTAGGATTTATCTTATGTTGCATAAATGAAGTTGTAGGCACCACTGTACTTCCAGTAAGCCCAGCTCAGAGGTGTATGTAACCTTTGAAGAAATCATGCAATTAATTTTTATTAAGCTTAAACTCAGTGGTGGATCAACAACAGACAGGGCAGGCCTCTGCACGTAGGCATCTGTTTCCTGTTTTTCTAGGAAGCTCTGAATACCTCAGCCAGAAGTTTTCAGGATTTTATTGCACAGAAGCAAGTGGCAGTGGGGGGAATGTTGGTGTGTGTGCAGTTGGTGCCTGGTGTTGGTGCTGTTCTCTCTGGGAGACTCTCACCCAGTAGGTGGGTGCTGATTAATAAAAGAGGTTCTGGGTCTTTTTTGTGTTCTTCACACTTGGAGTTTTGTCTGGTTGAATGATCTGCAGGCAGGCAGGGGCTGCCCCTCAGGAGCACTGAGCTGCTGAAGGGACTCGGCTCTTTGTGCAGGAGCAGCAGCTCTTGGACACAGCCTTGAGCACGTTTTTGGTGTGTGCTGATGGACTGCAGCAGTTCTGTGCAGCTCTGGAGTTGCATCTCATCCCTCCTGATAAATAAGAGTCATTGAGAATTGCTGGGGTTGGAAAAGTCCTCTGAGATCCCTGGAGTTCCAGGGGTTCCCCCAGCACTGCCAAGGTCACCGGTGACCCATGTCCCCAAGTGCCACATCCATGCAGCTTTTAAATCCCTGCAGGGCTGGTGAGTCCAGCACTGTCCTGGGCAGCTGTGCCAGGGCTGGACAAACTCTTCCATTAAGGAATTTTCCCCAATATCAAACCTAAAGCTTTGTGGTGCAACTTGAGGTCATTCCTTCTCCTCCTGTCCCTGTTCCCTGGAGCAGAGCCCGACCCCCCGGCTGTCCCCTCCTGGCAGGAGCTGTGCAGAGCCACAAGGGCCCCCTGAGCCTCCTGTGCTCCAGGCTCAGCCCCTTCCCAGCTCCCTCGGGGCTGCCCCTCAGGAGCACTGAGCTGCTGAAGGGACTCGGCTCTTTGTGCAGGAGCAGCAGCTCTTGGACACAGCCTTGAGCACGTTTTTGGTGTGTGCTGATGGACTGCAGCAGTTCTGTGCAGCTCTGGAGTTGCATCTCATCCCTCCTGATAAATAAGAGTCATTGAGAATTGCTGGGGTTGGAAAAGTCCTCTGAGATCCCTGGAGTTCCAGGGGTTCCCCCAGCACTGCCAAGGTCACCGGTGACCCATGTCCCCAAGTGCCACATCCATGCAGCTTTTAAATCCCTGCAGGGCTGGTGAGTCCAGCACTGTCCTGGGCAGCTGTGCCAGGGCTGGACAAACCCTTCCATTAAGGAATTTTCCCCAATATCAAACCTAAAGCTTTGTGGTGCAACTTGAGGTCATTCCTTCTCCTCCTGTCCCTGTTCCCTGGAGCACAGCCCGACCCCCCCGGCTGTCCCCTCCTGGCAGGAGCTGTGCAGAGCCACAAGGTCCCCCCTGAGCCTCCTGTGCTCCAGGCTCAGCCCCTTCCCAGCTCCCTCGGGAATTCTCCAGCCCTTCACAGCTCCGTGCCCTTCCCTGGACACGCTGCAGCCCCTCAATGCCTTTGTTGTGAGACTCACAACTGCCCCAGGACTGGCGGTGAAGCCTCACTGGTGCCAGCGCAGTGGGAATGGCTCATCTTCAGGGACAGCACAGCATTTTCACACAAATCCCTGGTTTTGAGGCAGGGAAGGGCAGAAGGCAACAACTCCAAGCAGTCAGATGCACGGTGCTGTCTCAGAGATGGTTTTCCATGTGCAAGGAAACAGAAGGCCAACAGGCACACACAGGACATAGCATCTGTCCCACTGAAAGGGCTTTTACTGCTGTGGAACACAAAATGTCCTGGCAAAACATCTTTGCTGTGTCAGTAAAAAGAGGATGTTCTTGCCCAGTAGTAAAGTTTTATATAGCAAAACAGCTCCAGTAAATTGGAAAAAGTTACATTTCTTTTATTCAAAATCATTACAATGTTACGTTCTGAGATTCTACAAACCCCAGTCGTTCTAATACAAACACTTAGGTAGAATTCCTGCCTGTATCTGGCCATTGTTATAAATTATATTCATGATTAGTTTTGATAAAATAATTTTTGTGACTACAAGCAAGTGCCCTCACTCTTGTCAGAAGCAGAATTCAAGGATGAAACTTGCAGGAGAAGCTCTGGAAAGACTAAAGAATCAGCAGGGATGTTGCTCTGTTCTCCTGGTGCCTGTGGAGCCTCTGAAGCCCGAGCAGCACCTGGAGACCTCTGAGCTCTGCAAGGGCAGGAGCGAGCCCGGTGCCTCTCTGGAGCTGAGCGCTCCCTGCAGCAGCCAGGCAGCCCCTCCCAGCCTGGGCTGCACCCACAGGCACAGCTCCTCAGAGCAGGGGCTCAGCCCAGCCTCAGGCAGGAGGGACTGGTGAATTTGGCAAGGCAGAGTTCTCCTGCCAAGTCTGAAATGCAGAGACAGAGTTTTAAATTTCATACTGCAAGCACTGGGTTGGGGTAATCCTGAACCAGGAGGCAGTCAGGAATTAAAGCAGAATGCATTTGCCTTTGTACACAGAACACTAAGATGAGCTTGGAGTTCTTTTTGCATCACTTCCTCTCCATCAGTGACCCAGAGCAGAGGATGGATCACTGTGCACGCCATAATTTTTAGTAATTGAGTTTTTCACTGCGTATCCTCCATTTATAAATCCTGGATGACTCTGAACAACTTTTGATGTGCCACCTGGTCAGATGTTTGGGAAGTGGTACTTTGATTTCCTTGTTTTGCAGCAGTTCTTCTTGCTGTCCAGAGCTGGGAGAACTTTGCTGCAGGTCAGCTGAGGCAGGTGCTGTAACTAAAGGAAAAGTTACACCATGTGTATTTGTTGGGAATGGGAATAAAGCACACATGGAATCAATTTTCACATGGAATACGAGCTATAAAACTATTCCTACTGTAATCCTGTACTTTCCAAGCTAAGATGCTGGGGTTTTATGACTGGACTCATTAAAAAATTCCATTAGGCAAGAAAAATGTCCAAGATCATAGAAATGGAAGACGCCAATCAGTCTGCCCCAGAATTGACATCCTGTAGCAGTTCTCCATCCCTCACCTCCAATTTCCCTACCTGTTCCCAGCTCAGCCTTAGAGCTGCCATGGGGAATGTGGCTCCCAGGAATAAAGAATTGTGGAATGAGTTGCATTGTGAGGCTGGATTTGGGGCCTTGGGATGGCATCTGGAAAAGCCAGAGCAGCAGGGAGACCTTTGCTTGGCAGCTCCAGCTGCAGAAACACACAGTCTGTGGGGTAATGTGTGGAACTGTTACAACCAGAAGTGGTGGTTATTCCATCTCCATAATTCAGGATTAAAAAGCACCTGAGTACTCAAAATTAAACCAGCCACATGAGTGTGTCCAGTTTGTCCAGCCCTCCTGCTGCTCTTTGTCAGGAATGTCCTTTCCTGGATGAACCCTACTGCACCAGGGCTGTGCTGTTTATCCCCAGTGCCCCATGGAGCCGCAGTGCAAAATCCAGTTTGTACGGAGTTACTCTTTAGCCAGGGGGTTGTTTTCTCCTCAGGACAGAACCAAGAGCAGCCCAACACCCTCACCTGCCAGCACAGCCCACCCTGGGAGCCAGCAAAAGAACAGCCCTTCCTTAGGGAGGAATATTAAACACCATGGAAAGCTTACCCCTGGCATGTGCTTCCGAGTCAGCCTGGCTGGTCTGCGAGCGCCCTTCTCGTGTTCTTTGCCCAGCTCTGCCGCCTCCCTGAAGCTGTCAAAATAGGGGTGCTGCAGCAGCTGCTCACAGCTCTGCCTCTCCGCAGGGTCCATCCGAAGGCAGCCCTTAAAAAGATGGAGGAGGATCACACAAACACTCCTTACACAGCCCTGCACAGTTCCAGCTGCTCCCCACAGCCCATGGGTATTCCCACAGGTACACGTGTTAGTAATTTTTTTATGGGTTCTAAGAGTGGCTTTTCAGAGTCAGCACAAAGATTGAGAAGCAGCTAATTATCCAACAATTACAAGAATTAATCATAGAATGGTTTGGGTTGGAAGGGACCTTAAAGACCATCTTGTTCCAACGCCCTGCCCTAGGCAGGGACACCTTCCCCTATCCCAGGCTGCTCCAAGCCCTGTTCAGCCTGGCCTTGGACACTTCCAGGGATGGAGAATGCACAATTGTAGTAGGAATTGTGGCTCAAGGAACAGCTGCAATCCCATGGGGCAGCAAACCAGGTCTATTTTTCAGTGAATCTCTGATAAGTCAGTCCCAGACTCTCACACCAGATGATTTGTTTACCCCAGTGGTGGGTTCCTCCACAACCTGGAGTTTCCTCACCTTCATGAGAGCCAGTGCAGAGTATGAAATATTAGGGAATTTCACTTCCAGTGGTTCCTGCAGGGAAAAAAACCCAGTGAATGGACTCATATTAGCAAACTTTTCATTCATCAGGGTACCAAAACCCAGCTTTCCATAGGAACATGACCTCACTAAATGTCTCCATCACTCCATGTGCTCAGAGGCCTGGCAGCACTGAGGATGTGCCACCAGAAATAGGGCAAAGCAGCAAGAGATTAAACATTTTTGGACTGCTTTTACAGAGGCTGTAAGTTAAAATGTTATGAGAGTTTCAGCCACCTCCAAATAATAATCTGGTGCACACTGGCAAAGTAGAGGACAAAGCTTCTGGATAGGGAAAAAACACTGCACAGCAAAGGACAGGGCAGGGTGGGAAGGGAGGGAAGGCAGCTCTTACCATGCTCTCTGGGTCTGGAATTCTTACCCCACTGAAGAACTGGTTGGTGCTGAACACTTGCTGGTGCCTGGGAATGAGATCCCCTTTGACCAAGAATTTAAAAAAGAAAAAAAAAATTGAGTAATTTACTTAATTTTACAGTGCCTGCATTGAACATGGTTGTATCCTCTAACAAGGCTGATGCCATCCAAGACAGCATCTGAAGAGGTGGAATGCCACCAAGTGAGCCAAGGCAATGTTCTTTTGTGACAATTAATGTCCATTTGGGCCATCACTGATCCCACACCCGTGTGACTGTGCTGAAGGAAAGGCAGGGCCACAAGTGTTCCAGCTTCAGGAGAATTTAACTCCTTTTGGGTGAAATTCTCTTTGGACACTCCTGAGGGTGCTGTACAGGACAGCTGGAACACAGCCCCACCTGAACCTGCTGCAGCTTTTCCCCAAGGCAGTTTTTTTGAAGCTCAGAGCACCCCAGAGCGAGGATGAGGAAAGTGTTAAATCCATAGCAAAGGAGCCAGTACAATGCCAACCCCATAATGGCACAGCTTCAATCAAGGAGCTTTGCTCTGTGAGCACTGCCTCACTCCAGCACCTGGATCCAACAATCAATGGGAATCTCCTCTGGCTGAAACCCTGTCATTAAAAATAAATTATATCTGCCTAACACTGGCATTAATGAATTCTGGAGGATCAAGCAATCAGTGATGAACTATTTTTCTAGCTGAGGAGCTTATCTGTTTAAAGCCATTAGTCACCTTTGTAGTTTTATAAACTGCTCAGTTAAAATTACAACTCTGTGTTCATGACAACAAAATCCAGTGAAAAGTGGGGGGTTGTTTGTTGTCACCCAAGAAATCAGATGTTACACACCAAAACTGAAAAGAATCAATGGCACTCGATTATTTTAAGTGTTATGGGGGATAATGGCTCTGTTATTTGACAAACAAATACCAAGTGGCTCCTAAATTCATTGATGAACAACAACAACCACGTGGAACAGACAAGCTGTGATGTTCACACTCCCCTTCCCAGGCACACAGCCATCAACAGGCCCTGACAACACTTCTGAGACCTCCAAAGCTGGGATGAATTGAATCCAGCTGTTCACAGACCACTGTGTTTGGTACCAAACCCTGAAACACACTGGATCTTGTAAACCTTTATGCAAAACCTTCCTGGTCCTTTCTGATACAGGCACCTCATGTTTTTGTCTATGTGGAGACAGCTGAAGTTGCTGTGCTACCCCACCCCAGCAGGGGTGGCATCCAGTGACCACCAAACACATCCCACATCTTTCCTAATCTACCGTGCACCAGACCCAGCTTCCCTGAGGGTTTGGAGAGTGGAGGGACGGTTCCAGGCAGTCTGCAGGCAGCGATCCCGATTCTCAGCCTGGTTCACTGCAAGCCTGTTAGCACATGTACACAATGCCAGGAACACCCAGCTCTCTCTAAAGGACAGGAACCTCTCAAATAAACCAGCACCTCCTAAAATGAGAGATCCGCTGGGTGAATTCCCCCCTGGCCACTCCCCATTCCCACCACGGAGGGCATCGCTCCTGGGCAAGCCCCGGGGCTGCGGGTGCCGGGGACACTCACCCAGGGTTCTGCGGATCAGGTACAGCTGGTCCGCGTCCGACTTGCCCGGCCACAGGGGCACCCCCGAGAGCAGCTCGGCGAACACGCAGCCGATGGCCCACACGTCCACGGGGGGCCCGTACTGGGTGTCCCCCACCAGCAGCTCCGGGGAGCGGTACCACCGGGTGGCCACGTAGTCGGTGTAGTAGTCACTGGGACCAGCTGGCTCGGGGTCAGGGGAGAGAGACACGAACACAGGAACGCGGGATCAGAGCGAGGCAGAGGAGCCATCGTTACTTTTAACATTTTGGGGCACCTCCTGGGCAGGCCAGAGCTGCAGGAGCAGGGTGAGTCACTGGCCACCAGCAGAACCAACTTTGGAAACACCGAGGATCTGCTAAAAATCAAGACCGTGTTTTCCTCCAAATGAAAATGCGCAGAGCTCCACAGCAGGGCCCTGCAGCAGCCAGTGGGCAGTTCTCAGAACCCATGTGATTTGTCTGAAGAGGAGCTAAAAAACCCAGATTATTAGGGGGTTTATTTACAACGGAAAATGTGAAGCCATTGTTTGCAGAGGCAGCCAGAGGGGCTTTTCCTGCCAGGGAGCTCCAGCTGTGTCTCCAGCCCTGCAAAAAGAGCGGCTGGGCAGCCCCGAGACGCCCAAGGCCGACTTCCACCTCCCAGTGCCAGCACCCCCAGCGGGGAGCTCGGTTTGTTTACAGATGTTTACAGATGTCACCGCGGTGTCTGGGCTCCCTCCCTGCACGGTTCAGGAATCTCCACCCAGCCTTCAGCAGAGCTTCCCTGGGAAAACACACAGCTACCACACAGGAGGATTTGCAGTGCATCAGACACAGACAAGTGAGGGTTGGCATGGCTCATCCCACACTCCCAGTACATAAAGAGTGTAGATAAATTCAGCACTCACTAAGTATTCGAGCAAATCCGAAGTCACAGAGTTTGATGACCGAGTGCTTTGTTATCAGGATGTTCTCTGGCTTCACATCCCGGTGGATGCACTGGAAGAAGCAGCAAGGTTAGAAGTATTTAACCTGGCCCTCAGATAAATGCAGTCACACCCCTTGCACACTGTGCCAGGCAGTTCTTCCTGCTGAAAGGGAAGCTGGAAGGATTTCTGAGCAGCAGGACAATGACCTGTCCATAGCCCACCCTTGGGGACAGGCACTGTGCAGGCTCCCAGCTTCAGCTGCCAGCTCTGTATCCCCTGGGCAGCACGGAGGCAGCTCCCTGAACCCCCTGGGAAGCTCCTGCCAAATGGTTTTGCTGCCAAAGCTCAGCAAGAGCTCTGCTCAGCACAGGTGAGACACATCCAGAGCCGTGTCCAGCTTGAGTCCCTCCAGAGAGGGAAGATGTGACTCCAGTGCCACTGGAATTTACAGGACTGGGGTGTCTGACATCCAAGGAGAGGATGAGGGAGCTGGGACCACCAAGAAAAGGCTCCAGGTGAAGCTCTTCAATGTGCATGAAATACCTGATGGGAAGGGTAAAGGAGACTGAGCCAGGCTGTTCTTGGTGGTGCACTGAAAGGACACACACCATGGGCACAAACTGAACACACAGGAAATTCCATTGAAACCTAACCAATTTATTTTATCTTTTTTACTGATGGCATGGCCAGACACCCAAACAGATTGTCCAGAGAGTCTGTGGAGACTCCAGCCTTGGAGATACTGAAATCCTGACTGGAAAAGTTTCTGAACAGCCTGTTCCAGCTGAGCCAGACTGACTGGAAGGGTTGGATGAGATCTCCAGAGCCCCCTTCCAATATCAGCAATTCTGTGACTCTTTAGAGGTGATCTTGTCCTTCACAACAACTGAATTTGGGCTTGGCAAAGAATTTCTGCTGATCAAACTAACCTTTATTTCTTTTGTTCTACTCAACTCACTGGGGTCTCACCCACATTGTCCCTCTCCCATCATCACCTCAGAGCAAACACCTTGGACTTTCCTTGCCAAGCTGGTGGTAAATTATTGTGTCTCCTCCTGAGGACTGAAATGCTGCTTATTAAACCACTGTCATGGAGCTCCAAAAAGGGCAGCTGCATAAAACCTCATTACCTGTGATCTACAGCAGCTCAGACTCAGCATCTCATTGTTCCCTCTGCTCTCAAATTCCACTATATCTTCCAGATTGAGCAGGGGAACAGAAAAAAGACTCAAACCAACAAATCTTGGAAGCAGGAGAGACCTGTGGCCAAGTTCCTGCGGCTCAACTGGACGTAATTCTCTCAGCAAAGACAAAACACCCGTTCCAGAGCCATCTCCTGCCCCACTCTTAAATCTCAAATGTTGGCAGATGAACAAAAATAAAGACAATTAGAGCTAAGTTTGCTTAAGAAACTTCTCCAAAAGGCTCCTTCTCCTTCCCTGCTTCTTAAAATGTTCCCACTGACGTATCTGACACGCACACAGCTCGTGTCTCCCTCCACAGAGCAGAGGAGGGAGTAAAAAGGGTTTACTGTGTCTAGCTTTTGAAATATTTTCACTGGTGCCATAATTTAGCCCCATGCCAGTCAAGTGAAGGACTTTCTGTGAAATCAGCCGCAGTTTGCTCATGTCCCAGCTGATGAGCTGGTAGGGCAGGTTCCTGAAGGGCAGCAGTAGTGCAGGGCCCAGGGAATCACACAAGGATCATTCCCATTCCTCCTGGAGGCTTGTCTAAGGTCATTAGAGCAAATCATTCCCTGACAGCCAAGCCAAGGGGCCTGTGTGACAGTGAAGGCAGCTGGTGTGGGTATACACCAATATTTCAGATATGTTTCCTGTTCAAAACAGGAGATTCCACCTGATTCCATCCCATGAAAGCTCTGGAATCAGGAAAATGCCAACAGAACGCCCCTCTCTCCTCCAAGGCCACGTTCCAGCAATCACTGGTGCAGCTCAGGGGACTCACATTGTGTTTATGGCAGAAGTTCACAGCCTGCAGGGTCTGCCAGGTTATGCTCTTCACCAGGTACTCTGGCACCCTGTTGGAAAAAAACACAGTTTTATTTTGGCCATTAATAACAAATTCACTATTTCAGGGAAAATGAGTGCTGACATTGTACAGGGATCTCTGAGCAAAACCATCAGGGAAGTCAGGAAACACTTCCAAAGCCAGTCAGTGCAACAAGGATTTATGTCTGGCACCACTGTCACAGCCAGCAAGGGCTGCCACTGTGACACACAGCAAAGTGAGTCCATCTCAGACCCTGTCCTAGGATTCCTGGCAATCCTGAAATGCCAGCAGGAATTTCTGCCTCAGCACCTCTCAGGGCTGGAACTGCTGGAGTATCCATGGTATAGATACATGGAATGCTGCCATGGCACAGATTGTGCAGAGTGGAGAGGTGAAAGATGGGCCAGGGAAGGGTGCTCAGACCAGAGTATAAAGCTCTGCTTTGGTTTGGATCCCCCTCCTTCCCTCCCACAGCCAGCAAACACTTCCCAGCCCCCTCTCCTTTCTTTCAGTTACTGGGCAACAGTTCTTGAACTTCCTTGGCTGTCTGTAATGATCTTCAACAACCCCAGGAAAGGCAGAAGCGACAATCTTGGCATTTTCCAACTCAAACACAATTTTATTTCACATGTTTAGTGCTGAAAAGCTTCTGATTCATAATAAAGAAAAAAACTACCCCAAACCAAACCAAAACAATGCAAGCCTGAGTTTTTCTTTCGAGCATGGCTTTCACTTTGTGCTGTCAGTGGGTCAGTGACACTCTGCTGACACTGTGAGGAGAGATTCCTTCCAGAAACATCCCAAAATGATGGGAGTGCTGCTGTGACAGCTTGAAAAGGGGATGGAGTTGGTCAAATGAGCTGGAATCAGCACATGCCCACCCCTGTTAACCCAACCATGAAAGACTTGACCATCTGCCCCAGCAAAGCTGAAAAGCAAAGCATGCAGCCAGCTGCTCCATGTTTGCTCTGACCAACAGTCAGCAATTGGGAAGCATTTCCTTCAGGAGAGTTATCCATCCCCTCTTCAGATTCCAGGGAACAGGTTCAAAGTGGGGTGGCAGCTGCTGGGCAGCTCACGAAGCTGTCAGCTTTGTCACATGCTCCTTTTTCCTGGTGCTCCTCACCGGGGAGAAAGGGAGTGAGTAACAAGCTCTTGTTTACTCAACCCCCCCATGCTGCAGGCAAATTCACAACCCCAGGCCTGTGAAACGATTTATGGACTTCTGCTTAGCATTTTCCAGCACCAAGGCACCTGGATAATGAGGGACAGAGGGAGTGGTGTTAACAAGGTGTGGACAGAACAAACCCCGTGCGGAGCTCACACTTTGTGCAAGCACCTGTTTGAAGAGGAGTTTTGCAGAGAGGTGCAGACACAGCTCTTAGGAATTAGTCCTCACTCTGAAGGGCTCAAAGTGTTCAAAAGTGTAGATGCGGCACTTGGGGACAACGCTTTAATGGTGAACACGGCAGTGCTGCATTAACAGCTGGACTCGATGGTCTCAAAGCTTTTCCAACCCAAATGATTCTGCAAGTCGCCGATTCCGTGTTTGGGTGCCCCAGTGCCCCAGTGACGGGAGCAGTGGAAGGAGCAGGAAAGCTGCTCCCAGGGCGCGGTTCGCTGCTCCCCCGGCAGCCAGAGCTCTCCCAAATGCTCGGCTCGGCGCTCCCGTCTCCGTGGTGAGCGGGGCTGTGCGGGAACGCGGCTCCCACACCGTTCCTGTGCCAAACCACAGCAACAGAGACCGTCCCGGGCACTGGGCTGAGAAACCTCTCCTGTAATTAATGAAATTCCTCAGGAAAGCCACAGGGCAGCAGCACGGACACCCCGTGCTCGGAGCTCCGGGGCAGAGAGGGGCACTCACCCGCGGGGGTGCGTGTCCAGCTCATGCAGCACGGTGTGCTCGCAGTACTCCAACACCAGGTGCAGCCGCCGCTTCCTCCTGAACACCTCCAGCAGCTTCACCAGGTTGGGGTGTTTGAGTTGCTGCAACACAGAGCGTGGGCTGGTCAGGAACTGCACAGGGTGAAGGTTCGGGGCACAGATTTGTCCTGCAGGGTCACAATCCCTTAAGCTGAACCCTTTCTACAAGCACAACTCAGCCTCTTATTTTGTACTTATTTTGGGAGCAGACCTCAACGGGTGGGCAAGAAGCTCTGCCCAGTGTTCAGCCCTGCCCTCTGGCACGGGGAAGGCCCGATGTCCGCCTTGTCCTTGGATATTGGGAAGGAATTCCTGGCTGGCAGGGTGGGCAGGCCCTGGCACAGGGTGCCCAGAGAAGCTGTGGCTGTCCCTGGATCCCTGGAAGTGTTCAAAGCCAGGCTGGACAGGGCTTGGAGCAGCCTGGGACAGTGGAAGGTGTCCCTGCCATGGCAGAGGTGGGATGGGATGATCTCTGGAATCCCTTCCAACCCAAACCATCCTGGGATGGATGGTTTCAAGAGTCTGCAAACTCCCACTCCACGTCCCTTGGCTCCTGGCCACAAAAATCCCGTGGTCTGCAAGGTGTTTACTGGGCAGAAAAATCATTTATCAAGACCCATAATATTCTACTGATGAAACACAATGTCACTCCATCTCTGACAAACAGGAGTTGCCTAAGCTAGGAAGTGCCTCAACAAACAAACAAACAGTCACTATTTGCAGAGAAAAAGCTGAAAAGAGTCAAGCAGGTCTGCACTTGTTAAAGTCAACAGTGATCAACACAGATCCTGCTGTGCCTGGCTGCAGTAGCTTTGGATCCTTAAGGATGATGCAGCTCCCAGCTGCTTTACAAGGGACTTCTGCCGTGATTATTTTCCTTTTCAGATGTTTAACATCATTTAAATCTTAATGTAAATCTAGCATTATTCACTGAAATAATATAGCTACATGTCCTGTGTTTACTTTGGATAGGAGAAAACCTTTGGCTGCTTCTTCCAAAATATAACAGAAAAATAATTATGCTTTTTCCTAGATGACTGTTTTGCTAGGATAGCAGGTGTGCAAATCATGAGCCCCCTGGAAAAAGTGCCAAGGTGACACTTCCCATTTCTTGGAACACAAAGCTGAGGGTACTGTGTGCCATCACCCAGCAGCAAGTTTGTAACAAAGAAAAAGAAATATTTTTTTTCACACAACACATTCCTAAAGCCTCAGGACACTATGGAGACCAAATGAACACACGAGCTCCAAAGAGATGGGACAGAATCCCAAAACTCTGCAGATGGATGAAGCAACAGGCACAGCCTTTGCTGCAGAATCCTTGCCCAGGAGCTGGGAGTGTGAAAAGAAACCTTTACCCAATCCTCTCCTCCTTTCTCCTGGGTCTGTCCTCATTTCTGCATGCTGGACAGACCTGGGGTGTGACTCACTGCAGATGCTTCTGTGTTTTTATTTCATGGGGAAAATAAAGCCAGAGACTGAAGGTGTAACTCATTTCTGAAGGAGTAACCCATTTCTGTGAGAGGATGAGCGCTCACAGAGAGGTCAGGAGAGGATCAGCAAGGACAAGGTTCACTGCTGCCACTTCTGCTGTCACTTCTTGTGGAATACCTGACCCTACACAGCCCCTGGCATTCAATCCACAGCTGCATCCTGCACAACCAGAGGCTCAGAAAGGGCATTTGAAGGAGCTGGGGCAGATTTATCAACTGTGGAGCAGGGAGAGCCGTGTCCCCTGGCTGTCCCTCTCCTCGTGCTGCCTAACCTCACTTTTTGCCCATGTGTTTTACAGCGGCTCCAGCTATCCCGGGGAATCTCCTGGGCGCAGAGGGGTCCGTGACACACACCAAGGGCAGAGCTGTGCCACAGCGGCCAGGACATCGCTGGCTCCGTGGGGGACAGAGCCTGGCTCGCTCCCCTGTGCAGGGCACACCGTGCCTGCGCTGAGGCTCCTCCGGCACAGGAGCCTGCACTGCGGCTGCTCACGGCCGCGCCTCAGCTCCCACCGGCTCCTGCCTGCGCTGGGCAGATCCCCCGGCATTCCCTGGCACCGGCTTTCTGACCTGGGCACTTCATGGTGCTCCTTCACAGCCGTCTCTTTGCTTTCCCCATCACCTCACAGACGCCCTCATGCCCCGTCTCTTCATGGCTGCCCTCACACCCCGTCGCCTCACGACGCCCCGTCCCCTCAAGACACTCTGTCCCCTCCTCGCTGTTCTCACACCTTGCAGCCTCACGATGTCCCTTCATGGATGTCCTCACACCCTGACCCCTCACGACCGTCCCCGGCAGCTCCCTCAGGGCTGGCCATGGCCGGCAGCGGGGTCCGTCCCGCCGCGCCCGCCCACCTTGAGCATGCGGATCTCCCTCAGGGCGATCTTCCGGATCACCGGGTCCTCCTCGGACTCCAGGAACTTCTTGATGGCCACAATCTGCCCCGTGTCCTTGTTGCGGCACTTGAAGACGACGCCGTAGGAGCCAGCCCCGACCTTGCCCAGCTTCTCGTAGCGCTCCATGGCCGGGCGGCCCCGCCGCGCTCCGCCGCCGCCTCAGCGCGGAGCCGGGGCGGGCCCCGGGCGGGGGAGTCACCCCGGCGGGCACGGCCCCAGAACCGCCCCGGGGCCACCGGCACGGCCGGGACGGGCCCGCGGGGAAGGGAGGGAGGCACAGCGGGGATCCCCATGGCCGCTGCCGGGGCCGTACACTCACTCCGCGCCTCACGATCCCCCCGGGCTTCATGCCCCGCAGCGCCGTGTTCATGGAGTCCCAGAACCACTCATGGACTGGGTCGGAAGGGACCTTAGAGACCACAGCTCCAACCGCCCTGCCAGGAACGCGTTGTTTTTACACCTCTCTGCCTTTCCAGAGGATCGCTAGGTTTGACTCCGTTTTCCTGCAGGGTTGGAAGAGCAACATCTTTCCACAGGGTCTGCATTTCCCTCTGGCACTGGGGGTTTCCCTGGAACATCTTCCCACTGGTACCTCGGGTCTCTGTCGCTGAATGGGCTCCTGCCAGCAGCCAGACCCTTCCTTTGGTCGAATTTTCCATCCCTTACCATCCTGTTCTCTTTCCTGGTGCACCCGCCTGGGTCCGTGGATCCTCATCCCTCTCCTCATCCCCTGACCAAGGTGGCCTTTTGTGGTGGTAATTGCTTTCAATATTAGATCTGAATATGTGTGGGCACCCCACTCCATCTCATGCCTCCTCCCTCCCCAGACCTTTCCTGAGGTGCTTCCCAACTCAGAACAAAGATCCACTAATTATTTTTCTTCCCAAGCCACATTCATCAGGGATGTGCAGTCCTCACATTCCAGCTGCCAAGACTGACCCCCCTAACCATCTCCTGCAGGGGGGAATATTGCTGTGTATTTATAAATATAACTGCCAGTAACTGGCAGTTGTGTTTTCAAAGCCACGTTCATTACATTATTTTTTCAGCCTCCTTTTCCCTCTACCTTGGCAGATCCCTGAAGATCTGGAGCTGGCTGGATCCTCCCCAGAGCCCTCTGACAAGGTATTGTTCCCAGCGAGCCACCAGGCACAGATCAAATAAAGCAGTTTATTTGGCATAGACTGAACTGCAACAGAAATTCCCGTGGAACAAAGCCTGGTTACACAAACTGAACGAGTGCAGTTATGAGTCTCAGTTACACCTAACGACAAAACAAGGTAAAAAAAAGCACATTTCAGAGTCTCCCAGTCTTGTCCTTTCCATCCAGAGACACCGTGGCTCCCCTGATGCGTTGTACCTTTCTTCTTTACAGAGATGTCAGCACAATTCCAGCTGTATTTTTCACTTGCAAGGAATTTGGTTAGGAAATCCAAAGAGATTAATCCACAGACTGCTCTTCCCATGCTGTCTGTACTTCCAAGAGCTCTGGGAGCCTGTTTTAAGGCTTTCAAGTCGGGTACACGACCTCGTGCATCCAATAATTAAAATTTTGATAAATGTTGAGCGAGGAAGGAGGGGCTGAGCAAGCTTTTGCTTCATCACCCCCAAGCTCCCCCTGTTAGGCTTTCTCAAGCCTGGTTTAAATTCCACAAAAACAAAGGTACAGACAATACCAGACTAAATTAAACAGTCAAACACAAATTATACTGATCAGAGTCACTGAGGCTGGCTGGAACACACAAATCTGCTCTGTGGTACGGAACAAAAGTGAGGTTTTACACTAGGAAACAGCATCTTGCAGATCATGCCAAAAAATGCCACTGTCTATGAAACCAGCACTAAGCATTTCACAACATGCCATTAGAAATGCTTCAACAGCTAAAAAGGGTTTGATTAAACGAGGACTTTCCTAAGTTTATTCTTTATGATCCAGCAAAACATCAGCAATTCGTGTCAAAGAAAAAGACTTTCAGCTCGTTATTTCTGCATGACAGTGTCATGACCTAAGAGTTATTTACTCCAGTTATTCCCCATAAATATCCAGATTTTATTTACAGGTTTCTCTAGTCTTTTAGAGATCTCCTTTAAGTGTTTTCAAAGATGAAGCTGAAATTACCTTCTGTAGTGAATGAGGTAAATTAAGAAGTGTTTGCTCTACAATATCTACACCTGGTGCTTCACTTCACCTTAATTTTTGTTTTAAAGACCAGGAGAGGCACCGTTTGAGGTTAATCACCAGTCACTGTTACCTGTGGAGAAGTAATTTCAATACTAGAGAACTCCTTTAAAAGACAAAAAAATCACACGTCCTGCTGTTAATACTGCTGAGCCAATTCCAGCTGACCACCCCTAAAGCACATTTTTCATGCTCTGTGGAGTGATCCATAAATTTCATCTGTACACTTAGTACTTTTTAAGCTTTGACACAGTGTCAGAACTGAAAAGCTTGACTTGATTTGGATGTCAAGTCAGCAAGAATTAGTTTTGAATGACAGTGGCTAAAATGCTGAATGTGTGCAGGGCTGTTTTCCCCTCTGGACCTTCCCTGAGCCATCACGTGGGCCCAGACAATTCCCTCCCTGTTCAATTATGGATCATGGAGCCCGATGCCAACACAGCACCAAACCACTCCCAGCTCTCACACACCTTTCCTGCTCTGCTCAAATGACCTGGGAATTCCAGCCTCTCCTTCCTAGGCAGCAGATCTCAGGAGCTGAACAGGCATTTAATTAAAAACCCCTTCAATTCCAACGTTTCTGAGCATTGGAATTCTGCACCTGCCCGAGGAGTGTTCACATCAAAGCCAGCAGGGTAATGTGAGGTAGTAAAACCAGATGCTCTCCTGGAGTCAGTCTGTATTTAATGGTACCTCAAGAATTTTAATTAATGAGGAAGACAAAAGGAACCGATGCGACTCTTCAACGGAGAAAGAGAAAGGATAAAAAAAATTGCAGGTGACCAAAAAGTGATCAAAGCTTGGATACAGAATACTGGTTCTTATCATGTTTATTTATACTCACAGCTGGGGCAGCAGCCATCCCCAAAGCACAGCAGCTGGAATGCTGCTCAGGCTCAGCTGTGGCTCCAGGCTCCCCTCTGGAACAGCATAAATAAACCACACGTCGTGGGCAGTTGGATACATGATACTTTCATTCATTAAGGATGATGACCTGCTACAATTTCCACTTCATGTCACAAGGCTTATCCCTAATTTATGAAAATAAAGCATATATGTTTTGTACATTTTTATATATATATGTATAAATATATATATAAAATATACACACTGCCAGGCAACTTCACACACATGCACACGCACACACACGTGGATATTGTACACAGCCACCCAGGAGCAACAAGTCTGATATCAATATTCTACTTTGTGTACACACACCCTACGTCTAGGAAGTAAGAAAATCCCTTTTATGGCAATTCTGCAGGCAGAAAAATCAGTACAAAATACTTTGTTGTACAAAACTGCATTTTTTTTACATGATCACCCAACACGGTAACACACCCCTCAGTAATGCACTACATCCCTACAAGGAAAAAGAATAATCAAATCTTTATACAATTGTAAAAAAAAAAAAAAGTAAGCTGCTCTGCAACCTTCCTTTGCTAAAAGTTAGACATTACCCCATCCTAGCAGCAGATTAATAAATAAGGATTAAATAGTCTATTATACAAAGCCATACCCCATGGCAGATTTAAAACCAAAAAGCTCTGCAGATACTTTCACTTCCTACACAAATCTTTGTTTTATTAAGAATAAGACTCAGTATAAAACAGGGCAACAGCCAGCACTAGATCTGTATCTACAGAATAAAAGGAAAACCCAAGGGAAGGGAAATATTTAACAGTTTATGGCACCTTTACTGCAGAACATGTTTCAAGGCTCTGTTTCCCTAGAACTAACGAGTAAAGGGCTCTTTATCTCAGCTTTTATTAAGCAAACTCGACATAACCAACCACACAGTGGCAAGAGACAGAACCAGCTGTTCCCAGCTGCAAAAATGGATTGATTCCCACCCTAAACCCCAAGACAGCTCGGGTGTCAGACGAGAAGCGGCCAAGTCCCGGTTTCCTGCAGCTCCTGGGTCCCAGCGTGGCCAATTCCCTCTGCTGTTTGGGGTGGGTGCTGCTCAGTAGCTGTTCTCATGTCCAGCCAGGATGTAGAGGTTGCTGTGAGCTGTGGGGTTTTCTGTGGGCCTGCTCTCCAGCACAACCACTCTGCAACCAAACACAAACGGGATCCACAGTTAGGGGCGAAGAACAGCTCTGGGTGTAGCTCCAGAGGAGGAAACTCAGGGGGTTCTACTGATTGGAGATAGAGGTTCTCCCAAATATCTTGGGTGTTTCATTCTTTAACCAGTTCCCTCATTTTCCAGCATCACTTCTGATAAAAACACTCAAGATATAGTGGAAGGGTTGGAACTGGATGATTTTTAAGGTCCCTTCCAACCCAATCCATTCTGTAATTCCATGATCCCATCATCTACAGCCCAAATGTTTATCCCTCCTACATCTTCTGATAAGCAACCTCAACAATTCTCCTCCCTCCTAAATATTTATCACCTTATGGCTTCAAAAGGATCACTGAACCCCATCCCTGCCTTTGTCCTGCTGGATCACGTTCCTGTGGGCCACTCTGGAAAATGATTCTCCACTTGTCTTGGCACACTAAACACTGCTGGACCTTGACCATAGCTGGTTGGGCCTTTGAGCTCCCCACTCCCTCCCAAATGCTGAGCATTTCTCTGCACCAGTTCCTGTTGTTTTTAGGATTAATCTCATCTCTGCTTTTTGTTTCCCTCAAAGAGTTTCCAAATGAAGTCTCCGAACAGCCTCTGTCCCTGATCCTCACCTCTGCACCCAAGCAGTTCTGGAGTGATTCAAGGTAAAAAGGTGATCCACATCTCACTGGAATGGCAGGAAAACTCCTGCTCCATTTGTACAGAGATGGAAAATACAAACCAAAGGGTTTGGCACTTCCAAGGCCAGATGAGGGAGCGGAGGATCAGGGATTCAAGAGCTGAAGGTGTTCAAGGCTCTGAGCCACCTGGGCTAGTGGAAGGTGGCCCTGCCCAGGAGTGGAATAGAAGAGCTTTAGGGTCCCTTCCAACCCACACCAGTGTGGAATTCTGTGGCTGAAGTGACTGCTGGACTCATCCCTGTCTATTCCTACATTTATCCCCCTGGCTGGCTGAGAATCCACAAGTAAAGGTGTCCAGCCTGGAGCCTGGGGCAGCTTCTGCTCAGGCTGCAAACCTGGGGACAGCTGCACCTCTCTCCACCTGTGCAGATGGAAGGGACCAGCTGGATCTTATGGAAAATGTGTGGATTTGGATCACTGAGACTAAAACCTGAGTGAGTTCTGGTTTGCTATTTCCAGACCAGCCAGGGTTGTTTTTAACTGGCTGCTGCCAAGGTAATTCCCAGCTCACCAGGACAATCCAAAACCAGGAGCAGGCTTTTCCACAAGTGCACTGGGCACCCTGCAAGCCCAGAGCATCTCTCCTCCCTCCCTGACACTTGGTGCCCACAGACAGAGCTGGGCTGGAAGCCAGGCCCAGCTGGGAACTAGAAAAGCTGGTTTAAATAAAACAAAAGGTTTCTGTTTCTGCAGGGGGATTACCTGTCTGAGCCCAGCAGGCGGAAAACCCTGGTTTCATCAGATATCTCCTGGGTCACCTGCAGAAAAATGCAGATATTCATTTCAGCAGCAAAAGGAAATTTATTGGTCTGAGTTGGAAGGAAAGAAACATTCAAATGCAATTTAATGCAAAGAACAGGACTGAAATGGATAAATTGATGTTAAGCATTGTGGAATGTGAGCATTCTCACTTGGGAAGCAGACATGATGCCTCAGGTTTGAGCTTTTCTATTTTCAGGTTCTGTGCTGCTTTAGTGGAGGAGATCCTTGCAATCAATCCCTGCTTTGTTCTTTAGCTCCATCCAGCCTCTGCTCTAGGGCAGCCTGCACAAGGCATCAGAGAGAGAAGCCAAAAGATCCAGTGGTAAATAAGGAACAGGAGGAATTAAACTGGAGATGCTGGAGATCACTTACTTCATCTGACTTGAAGCTCTTGCCCTGCATGCCATGTTTCCAGAAGGCCAGCACGCTGTCCTGAAGGCACACTGCAAAGGAGGGACACATCACACCCCATTCCCTGCATCCTTGTTTTCCCAGTGCCTCTGGAGAACCCCTCAGGAAGTGTAAAAACAAACAGTGCCAAGCAAAGCACCGTGGGCTGCTGGAAATGACACATCACCTGAATTATTACAGTTACTTCAAAACAGATGAATGATGGAAAATGGGAGTTTTCCATTCAGGGATGGAGAGAGCACAGAGCTGCCAGCTCTGAGTGATTTAATTCTGTGATTCTGAGAGTTTATTACAGCAGCAATTCTTGTTTGACAGCTACAATTCAAGTCTTAAAAAAACTCTTGTGCTTGTCTAAAGACTGCAGCTTGAGAATTTGATTCAAATATTATTCCCTATTAAAAAATGGATGTGCTATTACTTGAAATAAAATCTTAACTTTTAGAAGGCTAACACAGATTTATGTATTACTAAACCACTTTTTCCTGCCCAGATTTTGTTCTCATTGCTATGGAAAAGACCAGAAACGAGTCAGGCTTTCAACAGTGAGTTCTTAAACCCCTGAGGGACAGCAGAGCAGCAAATCACTCACCCACTGACTCGATGCAGAAATCAAAGCTCAGCTCAGAAGCCAATTTCTTGCTTGACTTCAATTTCCCTTGTAAATTCACTATTTTCACATATTCTCAAGAGAAAGAGAAAAATCAGCATTAAAACCCACTGCTGAAAAGGATTTAAATGTAAAATACAAATTTCATCTTTTAGGCACAAAGAAATACCCAAATTTAACAGCTACAGCATTTGCTAAAATGAACCCAAGAGCATCTTTCTCTCAAAATAAATACAGAAAACTTTGTACCCCTTGGGGTGGTTTTACACTGACAGAGTGATGCACACATCAAGAGGGAAAGTGGAATTACAAAAGCCAGAATGAAATCCCACTTAGCCAAATTTTCTTTTTGGAAATATTACAACACAAATTAATAATGTTAGGAGAAAAAAACCAAACTCGTGGTGAAGTTCAAATCAACAAGTGTGGCAACCCAAGTTTTGCACGAGGTGTGGTGAGTTATCCAAGAGATTTTTGTGTTACTCACTGTCCAGGCAGACCAGGACAGTGTCTCTCTCCAGCTGTGTCACGTGAATGGCATCCAACTGCTGATTGCCTGGGGAAAAAAACAGATTATTTTATATTTTGTGTCACATCAAGAGGCTCTGCTCCCCCCACAAGCTCTTGTCACTCTGATATTTTTTTTTGTTTACTCTGATTTTTAAAGGCTGTAAGATCCCAGAATGTTCTGGGAGAAGCACAAACCTCCCTGTTCAAAGAAGGTATTTACTAGGAAAACACAACTTTTACTGGTAAAAACACATTTTATGCTATGGTTCAGCACAGCTTCCTCCCCACAACAAACAAAAGGACTTTTAATTCCTAAAAACCCACTCTTTTCCCATAAATCCACATCTGGAAAGATTTTTGTGATGATAATAAACAGTTTAAGAGTTTTTTTTTCCCTAGTTTTTATTAATGAAGTTGTTCTTACAGCTGCTAAAAAGCAATATTTAAAGGCAAAAATGTACATCCAACAAAGGCAAAGGAGAAAAGCAGCTGCAAAATATCAACCAGGTCTTAAAAATAACCCAAATTTTTGCTTTTTAAGAGCCAGCTGAAGATAACAACCCTCCCCCAAGGGCTGGAGGATGGACAAGAATCCATTTCTGGGAGCTCTTATGCAGGAAAGGAGGGCAAAGAGCAGGATCCCAGGAAAGAGCATGGAACCACAAAGGAGAACCCAACCAGCAGGGTCTGACTGATGTTTAAGGGAATTTAGAAAATAAAAGGTTTTTTGTAAGGATAGCTTCTACTGATGTGGGGCAGGTCAGCACAACAGAGAATCAGGGAATCACAGAATAATTGGGATTGGAAATTACCTTTTTGAATCCCACCCAGTGTCCCTGCCATGGCAGGGACACCTCCCACTGTCCCAGGGTGTCCCAGTGTCCAACCTGGCCTTGGGCACTGCCAGGGATCCAGGGGCAGCCACAGCTGCTCTGGCAATTCCAGCCCAGCCAGCAATTCCCAATTCCCAACCTCCCATCCATCCCTGCCCTCTGGCAGTGGGAGCCATTCCCTGTGTCCCCAGTCCCTCTCCATGTGGGATCAGCTTCAGGCAGAGAAGCTGCCAATCCCAAGTCTTTCCAAAGCACTGCAAGGAAGGGATTCCCAGCACTCCCAGCCCCCAGCAGAGCTGGAGGAGGGAGCCTCACCTGCCCCGATCTCGGTGAACCAGGAGGAGGCCGAGTTCAGGTTGATTGTCTCGAAGTGCACCACCTGGCTGGGCTCGCAGCCCCTGGAGATGGCCACGCACACCATGGGGTACTCCTGCTCGGGGATCACCAGCATCTCGAACACGTGCAGCGGGCTGGGCAGGGGGAAGTCAAAGTGCTGCCACAGAAAACACAAGCACAGAATTTCTAGGCTGGAAGGGACCTGTAAGATCATGAGAACCCATGTTCTAACACCTCAGCTAGGTCATGGCACCCAGTGCCACAGCCAGTCTTTTTTAAACACGTCCAGGGATGGGGACTCCACCACCTCCCTGGGCAGATGACTCCAGGATTTCACCACTCTTGCTGTGAAAAGCTTCCTCCTTAATTCTAGCCTGTATCTCCCTTGAAAAAACAGCAGCTGAGTTTGCTTTTACCTTGATATCACTCTGCAGCAACACGCACAGAGTAAAATACACACAGTATGTTTCTACTAATATCATTATATTAAGTATATTTATATTAATAAAATGCATAATAAATATATTTAACAAAATGTATTTAATGTTTTAATTATAGTGTATATATAATATGTATATATTTATATGTATATGTATGTATGTATATTATATATTATATGTAATCTAAATTTATTTATATTTTATCATATATATTGTTAATAAAATAATATTTGTAGTAACTATATATTAATAAAATATACAATAAATCTACTTAATAAAATATATTTAATCAATGTGTTATATATAATATATATTTTATATATTATACATTATATATGCATATAATGTATATTAATAAAATATAGAAAATAGAAAATATATTTATATTTATATTATATATTTTAAAATGCAGTGTATATTTATAAATATTGTATATTACTGTATTATTTTTATTGTATATTACTGTATTACTGTGTATTACTGTATATTTATAAATAGTATATTTACTCTGTATACAGAGTAGAAATTTTGTATCTATTGTGTATTATATATTACTGTATTACTGTGTATTACTGTATATCTATAAATTGTATATTGTATTAATATACAGAATTTTCACTGCTTTTGAAGCTGGGCAGAGGTGGATTGTGGTGCATTGCTGCGAGTGCAGGGCTCAATCCAGCACTGAAATGACTTTTCTGCTACTTAAATCACCTCAGTCACAAGATTTTCTGAGTCAAAATGTGTCCAGCCATTATTTTTTTCGAAAGTGAGCACTTTTTTTCAAGCGCTCACAACCCACAAATGGCACCAGACCGGGGTGTATTTCCACCCCAAACTCTGCAAAGGTTATTCCAACAGCTGCATAATTCTTCAACTCAGCCAAAAGGAAATGCTTACCTTTATTAACATGAATTTCTGCATTGGCTCATACCACTGGAGCAGAACAATTCCAGACTGCAGTGCACCACACAGGTACTTGTGGCCTGTGTAGGGATTTCGTACTACATACAATAAAAAAAACCAGAAAACAGTCACTTTAAAGCCAAGTCAAGTCATACTTGAAAAAAAAAAAAACCCCAAAAACCAACCCTACAGCTCTCTTTACAAACGAGTTAAGAAGCAGCATTATAAAATCCTATCATGGCAGGATTAGGCACGGAAGGGACCTTAAAGCCCATCTTGTTCCATCAGCTTCCCACTTGCTGCCTTCTGCCTTCCCATTCCAACATCCACAGCGATTACCACTGTGCCACATTGCAGATGAATTCAATTACAGCTTTAATTAACAACCAGTTGCATTCCTGGAGTCCCAGTTCAGAGGGTGAGTGGGCAGAAAAGCTGCAGTGCCCCTCCCTGGGGCTGTGGGCTCAGGCTGGCACTGGAATGAATTCCCAGGCAGGGAAGGTGGCAAACTCCTGGCGAACTCTGACAGCTCATGGAATACAAGAGACAGGGTTTGGGGGTGGTTTTTTAAGCTCAGCTGGACACAGGAGCAGCCTGATTTCAGGAATTATTTGTAAATGTGGCTGTTGTGGGCATTTTAGATGAGCTCAACAGGATCTCCAAGCGTGCAGCTTTATATCAATATATATATTTATAATATTTATATTTTAAAATATACTATATGTAAAACATTTTATAATATATTTTATATTTCTATTTACAATATTAATATTTCTATTTTAGGGGTGGGAAGGTGCAATCTGCAGATGTGGCACTTGGGGATGTGGGTTAGTGCTGGGCTGGGGCAATGGATGGAAGATCTCAAAGGGCTTTTGCAGCCTTGATAATTCCAGGATTCTGATTTCACACAGCACCAGGGAAAGGAAAGCACAAATCCACAACTTCTCAAGCTTTAACTCTTTCTGTGCCCTTCAAACTGCACTTATGGCTCTGCCCTCCCCAGGCTGCCTGAATTTTTATTCCTACTGATCCTTTCTTGGTGGAAAATATTCAAGTTTTCCTCACTAAAAGTTGGACCTGGGTCACACCTCGAGCCAAGGTGACAAAGCAGAAATGCTGTTTGTGGGTGTGCCAGGGGTCTGGGCAGGATTTAATCCCAATATCCCATCCATGCCTGCCCTCTGGCAGTGGGAAGCCATTCCCCTTGGCCTGGCACTCCCTCTCTTATCAATAGTTTCTCTCCATCTTTCCTGTAGCTCCTCCAGGCACTGAAATGCCCCAATTAGGTCATTCTGGAACATCTCCAGGCTGAACCACCCCAATTCCCTCAGCCTTTTTTCTGAACAAAGAACTCTTAAGTTTATTAAAAAGAAAATGAGTTTCAGACATGCCATGTGCAGGCACAAAGGGCAGGGGAACAAATGGCAAAGCTGGATTTGTCTGCTCACCTATACAGCATTTGTGGCATCCTTTTGTGTCAGGGATCTTGGTCGTTAAGGCAAATTTCCTGGAATAATAATCACCAAAAAATGCATCAATAACAGATGTCAGGGCCCTTCACACACCAACTCAACAGCACCAACACAATTTATGGCTATTTTCACTTATTCATAATTGTCTATAAGTGAAAGGTTTGTACCTTGGTAATATTTTGTCAGGAAATCTGTGGGTTTGAATATGAGCAGCTAATCCTGTTTTTTTGGCTTGTTCAAACAGTGCTATTAAATTATGGGAGTAGAGCTGGAATGTTTTCCCTGCAAGAGAGAAAAGCACAGTTGACATCTCAGACACTCCTCCAGCACAGAACTGCAATGTTCAGGAAAATGCAAGTATGGAACAAATTACCTTCTACAAACAGGTGTCAGGTAGGTCAAGTCCAGATATGAAGAAAAACAAACCAAGATAAAAACAATAATGAATATAGAGAAGATCAGAGCTCATTTAATTACAGTTAGTTTTATGCAAACATTTTTAAAGGCTGTAATTACAAAAATACAATAAATTATAGTAAATAAAGAATATATAGTGTATAGTATGTAATAGTATATAGTATATAATAATATAGCAAATAAAGAATATATTTATATTATAAATTATATTTTTAAATATTTAAGATATTTTCTTATTGATAAACCAAGACAAGTGTTATATAAATCCTGCATTTTTAAAGGTACAGTCCCACCATCAGCCTCCATGGCACAGTGCCTCATTCCTGTCTGGAATGTTCTATTCCAGGACAACTGACTGCCCAGGAATCAGAAATCAGGAAAACTGCTGGATCAGCAGTACTTGAAAGCCACCTCATTCTCCTTCAAAGGGACACAGGTTTTGTTTTAGGACCACAGAATCCCACAGTCTGGGTTGGAAGGGACTTTAAAGCCCACCCAGTGCCACCCCTGCCATGGCAGGGACCCCTCCCACTGTCCCAGGCTGCTCCAGCCCCAGTGTCCAACCTGGCCTTGGGCACTGCCAGGGATCCAGGGGCAGCCACAGCTGCTCTGGCAATTCCAGCCCAGCCAGCAATTCCCAATTCCCAATCTCCCATCCATCCCTGCCCTCTGGCAGTGGGAGCCATTCCCTGTGTCCTGTCCCTCCATGCCTTGTCCCCAGTCCCTCTCCAGCTCTCCTGGAGCCCCTCCAGGCCCTGCCTAGGGCTCTGAGCTCTCCCTGGAGCCTTCTCCTCTCCAGACTGAGCCCATACACTGCATCCAACCATGATGCAAATGTTCCTGTTTATTTATGGCTGTAATCATTTCCCTGCCTTGACACTCACCTGACAGGGACATTAAGGTGTTGTTGATAACGTACAGCCAGGTGCACTTTCGAGGAAATAACTGGGAAAAAAGAAAAGAATTCCATTAATAGAAACCTACAGGAATTTTTAACTGTGAAAATCCCACCTTCCTGTTTATTCCCTGCTTTGGACCCTTACTTAGCCCTGCACAGACAGACTATGGAATATTGGAATAAGTGTCCAAGCCCAGGCTGGACAGGCTTGGAGCAGCCTGGGATAGTGGAAGGTGTCCCTGCCATGGCAGGGGTGGCACTGGATGGGATTTAAGTCCCTTCCATCCCAAACCATTCCATGATTGGAGAACACTTTGTCCCATGTGCCACCTGGGGACATGGCTCAGTGGTGGCCTTGGCAGTGCTGGAAGAATGGTTTGACTCAGGGATCTCAGAACTTTTCCAATCTGAATTATTCTGTATTATCTGAATATTGACTATTATTTATTGAATATAAAAAACACATGAATATTGAGTGCTTATAAAATGGCACATGAAGGGAGAACAGGCAAAAACCCTGTCATCACCACAACCTTTTCCCATTTATTTCTCTGCCAAAGCAGGGACTGCCACAGGAGATCACAACTCAGGGAGCCAGGGAAGCCTCCAACCTTCACATCCAGACTGAACAGTGACAGGAAGGTTTTAAACAATGGAAACAAGTATTATGGATTCAGCACTGGAAAAGCAGCTGGCTGTGAGATGCAGAAAAGTCCCCCAAGTGAGCTGGTGCCTTATTCCACACCAGAGAGGTTTCCATATCCCCCAGTGCACGTGGATTTCTTACCAGCACCTTCGGAGTCGGAGGCAAACCATTGATTGCTGGTTTCTGTGGGAAGAAAGAAAGAAAGAAAGATCGTAAAACCCCTCCTGTGCACTGATCAGCTCGAGGACATGACAGTGAGAGCAGCCCCAGAGTCCCAACACCTACAGGGAAATCTCTCTTCTCCTTTTTCCGTGGCAGCTGAGGGATTTGTCCAGGTCCTTCTGCATTCTCCTCGATGTGTTTCAGCATCCCATTCCCATTGCCTGAAAAGGAGCCCAGACAAGGTTTGCATCTTATTTCACACAGTGAAATAGAAAATCTCTTCTCCCCTGTGCTGAGCTGGAGTGGAAGAGTGAGATCTGACATTGCACAGCCACATCTCAGGGAGCTGAACCCTTCCCAGCACTGAGTTGCACACTTCCCATTATTCAAACAGTCCCTGGGACAAATCCCACTGAGAGTAAAGCTGTGGCAAGGTCCTGCCCACACATTCATTGTTTTTCTCCTGTGGCAAGGTCCTCCCCACACATTCATTGTTTTTCTCCTGTTCCTGCAGGCAACACAGTCATGGCACTGACTGGCTGAGTGTCCTTGTTTTGGGAAGAACATTCCCACCATGGCTCTAATAAGAACCACACATGGAAAAAGGAAAACTTCACCTTGTGACCAGCTTGTTTTAAAATATTATCTACTGGGAACAGCTGGCTCTGGAAACAATTCCTTTTCCAAGGTGCCAGGCAGCTTTGGGACAGGTGAGGCATTTACCCAGGTCGCTGTATCTGGCTGTGAGCAGTCCAGGGCTGCTGATGCTGCTGGTCATCCCCATGGGGCAGGAATCTGCCTGGGGCCCACAAACTGGGATGCTCTGTCTCCTGTGGGCTGCTGGGGCTCTGCTCTGGGACTCTGGGAAGTGTTTTATTGTCTGGCATCTGCTGTCATCAGGGAGGTTCTCCTCGGGGTAACTGTTCATCCTTGGCTGCAAGGAACCAAAGGGGGGAAGTGTGAGGAACTGGGAATGGCACCTGGGAAGAACAAACCTCAGACAAGTTTAATTTCAGTCAGACTGCTGCTACATAAAAATGTATCAGCCTTTGAAATGTGTGTGTGATATTGGGCACCACAATGTAAGAAAGATGAAAAGCTCCCTGGTGAGCAGGGACAGGACCCAGGGAATGGCTGGAGCTGTGCCAGGGGAGCTTTGGGTTGTAGCTGGAGCTTTTCCTGGGCAGGTTTGGGTTGGATTTCACGAAAGGCTCTTCCCCCAGAGGGGGCTGGCACTGCCCAGGCTCCCCAGGAATGGGCACAGCCCCGAGGCTGCCAGAGCTCCAGGAGCTGCCAGGGATCCCAGGCTGGGATTGTTGGGGGTCTGGGCAGGGCCAGGAGC